CATCCAGGTCAATACATATTGTGTCCAGCTGTGTTTCCACGACCCCTGAAAAATGTGGGCCTCTCTGCCTTTTTGATCCAGCTCTGTCCTCCTTCCTTGGCCACGAAGAAGCACAGGGGTCTGTCCTGCATTAAGAAGAACTGGGTCTCGCTCGTTTGTCCCTGGAGCGTTTCCTGTCTGCAGATGGATGGCTGCCCAGAGACTCTGAAACTCTGAAGCTGCCAGTGGATTCACGTCAGCTGGGAACTGGGAGGTTGTTTACATCTAAAGTAATTTCTGTTTTTACCATGGTTGTGATCAGCGTGGCGCCGTGGTCGCAGAGGGGGAGAAAGTCTGGTTAGTCGGTCAAAAGGACTCCTCTATATTTGTATGTTATCTGATGTAATTGGTTGTTAGAGCAATAGAGAGGGTCGTTTTCTACATGGTGGAGGTTTTTAGAATGGTCCTATTATGCTGATGTGTTCATGATGTTGCAGCTATCCACATGGATGATTATGAGCGGTTTCCATTCTGCTCCCTTCATCTCTCTGATTAGACATGAAGAGAGAGTGAATAATGATTTTTTTCCCTCCACATGAAGATGTTGGTGTCTAAAGGAGGAGCAGCTGTGCCCAGAACATTTCCTCTGAGCGGTTTGAGGCTGACCCAGGAGCAGCTGGAGTAAAAAAAAGAAGTGGCAAGAGCTGTGGTGAGGACACTCATGCAGTGAAACACAACCAGGGTCGTGCACCCTCATACCTCCAGTCCATCAATATACCCAGGATTAATGAAAGCAGCTTGATTTCCATGACTGTGGATATTTTATTGATATCATGTCGTTTTTACTGCTGGAATTCGAGTTGATACAGAACATCACATCAGCAAGATCCAGAGCAATAAACAACATGCACGAGACGGTAAAACTAAAATGTCATGCCAGCTAGGGTGGGCTGGAAACGTATCCCTTTGGTTACCATGACAATTTCTTTCTGTTCACCTGAGGATATTATGATTTTTTTAAAAATTCTGTTCATTTCTTTAAACAATACTAATTTAATCAACATATCAATCAATTTAAAACAAATGACTGGATCAAAATTTGATTTTAACTGATGATTGTGCTGGATTTTAGGTTAAAGAGTTAAGTTTTCAGGAGGAGAACATGAGTGTGACAAGTTGAGGGATCAGCAATGTCATTGGATGGATGGATGATGTTTATCCATCCATTACAGAAGCAGCCAACCCCAATGCACACAATGCAAATATTTGAACGTCTAAGAAAAGACAAAATAATAAACACAGGAGAAAAATACACACAGTGTCTCGTGCATTTGTCTGGTGAGGACATTGTTTTAGTGACTTCAGCAGATTGTCTTTGTGCCACTAGCGTTCTCGTGCTCCTCCACCTCTTACGTCTTATTGGGAACCATACGTCTTATGTTATGCAAGGCTCTCGTTTACACGGAAGGGTGTTGCGGTAAACGTCTAACAAGCCTCCACATGTCAGAATCTCAACCCCTGTGTTTACTGATTACTGCAGCGGGAAATTGCCTCACAGTTGCATTTGCTTTCGGCTTTATTTACACCGCATGAGAAAATCCAGTTGTAGCATTGTCAAAGATACCCACCCTAATAAAAGTGTATTTAATAAGAGGTGTGCAACCTCCTGTAATCTGGCTTCAAATCTGCTCTGGGTTCACCACTTCCACAGGTAACAAGTCTTCCTACATCCTGAGCCAAATATTTCCTGTTTGCATGTCAAAAGAAATCTCCGTCTCAGGCTTTGAAGCCAGATGTGTCTTCCTGTCGAGCTTTGAAGAGGACCTCCCTGCATCTCGGCCCAGATCTCTTTAAATAGATTCACAAATCCTTCACTGATCAGCCTCACTTTCTCTTCTTCTTGTCTTTATCGTCGGACTTACAGGTCAAAGTTCACCGTTATCCAACTTTACCCAAGAGGGTGTTTGTGGTCAGCCCATAGAATTTACTATTTGTGTAAAATGAGTGTGTTTTGTCACTTTATTCAGAGCGTTCTCACATTATCAAACTCAAAACTGTGGCGTCGTGTTCATCCTCTGATCAGTATCAGTGTTTCCACATCAGAGAGGTGGCACCGCATCTTTTTTCAGACAACTCTCTTTACCAGCTCTGTGAATAGGCTGCACCTGCTGCAGCACAGCACACGTTCACTTATACGAACACAAACTCAGACATAACAGGTGTGAGGCAGAAAGAGCCGAGTGTGTTTTTAAAATCCTCCAGACTCATAAACACTTCTTCGGCTGAGCTTTGATGAGGTCAGCTCTGGCTCTGCTGCTGAGTCAAGGGGCGAGAAACGAACCATATGATTTCAAAAACCTCTGCTGTTTGAGTTTTACTCTGAGTTATTTTGGTCTGCCTCAAGTTATGTAAATTTATACATTCTTTCTAGAGCTTGCACAGGGGTCTTTTTTTAATTTTCTCTTGTGCAAATATTGCAACCAATTCAGGAAGTGAAGAAAAATAAAGAGCTGTTATCTTTTCTACCTTTTACAAATAAAGAACGCTCGGGTTCCAACACAGTTTATAAATAAATTTGCTGTTAAACTGAGAGCTGAAGGAGAAACGACACAATCCCGAGAAAACAGGGATATCCAGGGGAACTGATCATGTCGCACACAAACACCCTTGAGTTTGTAAGTGTCTAAAAGCATCTGACAGCCGTGTAAACATCTGATGGAGTCGGCGGCCAAAGACGCAGACAAGCCAGCCCATTCAGGAGCAAAGCAACGTCAGAAGCTCTTTCCTCACTGCAGACCACGGCCTGCAAAGCTGTGTGACTGCCAGCTGCATCAATTACACTCACACACAGAGCGATCCATTTGTATTGAGTCATTAGAACCACTGGCGACCACAATAATAATGTTTTTTTCTCTTTTTCACTTTAGAATATTTCATAAAATGATTTATATTGTGATTATATTCATAGGAAGTTTTTTAGACTTGATTTACCATCCTTAAACCACACAAGAAAAATATTTCTTAGTTGTAAAGATGATGTGAATCTGTGTTTATTGCCAAGTAGATTTACACATACAAGGAATTTGCTGTGGTGTGTTTAGGGGCAGCACAAATATAGAAATGTAAAACTCAGCAAACAATTTTAGATTTCAATGCCTCAGAGTACTGGGGTCAACAGGAGGGAGGCAGGTTGTATCTGATCACCTTCTGAGGGGAGTAAACATCTATGCTGCCCGGGAATCGAACCCAGATCACAAGAATGGGAATCTTGCATGATACCACTACACCAGCAGCACTGATGTTGGTTCTAATGAGACACAATCATGGTGCGCAGGCCACTCTGTTGAGGACCATGACTAAATACACATGACTGGCTGATTAAACCCTGAACAATTGTATTTATTATATATTTCTTAATGCCAACTCTTCAGCAAGTGAAGTCTTATGAACACAAAATAACAATCACATGATTAATGGTGAAAGGACGTACTGGTTATGCCGCTATTGCTGCTTCTCAGGGTTTCACACCAAACTTAAAGTAATTTGACATTACTTCAGACTACTCCAGCCAATTTTGGTGTCGGTGACACTTAAAGACAGAAATGCAATGTAATGTAAAAATGTTCTCTGGGAAAATGTAGCAAAATGCAAAAGGTAATGACTAGATTCTGATTTCATGAACCTTCACGACTTATCTGATTTCGAACAAGCTAACAATTTCACACGTTATACAGTCGCCCCCTTGCGGTTGGCTGCAGTACAGGTCGTAAACCCCGACCTCCTCCATGTTAGTGGATATTACACAATGTGACAGCGTGTGCTGTGTGCTGCTGCAAATCAAAAACAATCCAGGTAGGTGTGTGTGTGTTAGAGAGAGAGAGAGAGAGAGAGAGAGCTCATGTGATAAAGAATCTTATAGCTGATGAAGCTTTGAAGCAGAACAGCACCTCAACCCATCCAACAGCTGACCTCTAATCACTGCTCTCTCTCTCTCTCTCTCACTTATATTTGATCTTGCAGTCTCAATGTAGATTATTACCCAGATACACACGGGCCTCTCCCAAAGCTGCTCGGTTATAGTGAAGTTTGAAGCTGCATTGAAACCAAGGAGTGGATTCTTACAGAAGTGGAGTCTCAGGTGGTTACTTGCACTCGGCTGCTCTCATTCACATTCATACAAATTCAGATCCTTTCCCCCACATACATCATTTCCTTTGCAGATGATTGACGCTGCACAGTTTGTTCCTGCATCACCAGCTTTATTTGAAATCCCTAAAAGCACATGTTCTCTCTATTTGCATAGAAAAACATACAATGATCCTGTAGCTGAAAGAAAAAGGTCACGTACGGGACATTAATCCCACATCTGGGACAACTACCTAAGATACTGTCTGAAGTTGATTTCAGACACACGACCTACAGCAAATGAGAAATTGTGTCGAAACATTTTCCAGAGTTTGATTAACACATTTAAAGAACAGATTATCCAAGTCAGACATGTCCACAATATCCAGAACATTCAGGAGAAGGGTGGCTCCTGGGTAGAGCGTGCATGAGGCAGGACATGACGTATAAATTAAGGAAATGACGTATTAGAAACCCCACCGACACACCCACTCGCTCGTTGTGAATTCTCCGTACATTTACCTGCCGTTATCTCACATCGGCTTTTCCAGACATTTTTTCCAGAGGGGCTGGCAGGAAAAGTTTTACTACAATAAAGAATAGACAAAAGGAATCCTGTATCTTCCCACCAGAACATTAATAAAACTGAAAGACAATAATGAACTAAACAGTAATTGAATCACAAATATCCAAATACTTGGATAGAAGCTGGAGAGCCTTTGGGGTGGGTGTTTAGTGGCCTGGCTTGGACTCCTGATATTTTTTACCACGGCCCTGCAGACTGCATGTTGGCCCTCTCGGTTTGGTTTTGCTGCGGCCTCTCTCTCCCCCAGCAGCAGTTTCAGGCACAATAAAACCCTGATCCATTGATCCAGAGATCCAGGCGCCGGTAGGAGTCTTGTGTTTCCACGCCTCCTGCTTTCGCCCCCACCGTGGTGACTCTCCGGCTCACACACACTCACACACACTCTCTCTCACACACACACACACTCTTTGCCAGGCTTCCAGGAGTTGGGGCCGCGGATCGAAGACGGAACACGGGCTAACGATCACGACAGAAAACACAACAACATATCCTGCTTTTTACGCATGGATCTGTTTTCGTCTCTGGAGGGATTGCTACGCGGTGCGATGGTTTGCCCGGCTGGAAATTTCGGAGACTCGCACGGGAGAGACGGAGCACACGTCCCCTCCGCTGCAAAGTTGTAAAAAAAGTAGTTTCCCCCCTTCGGAAGTTTCCCTCTTTTCCGCCACCAGTCGTTTCTCCAGCCCTGCATGCGCGGACCCTCAGCCATCATGGCGCGGCGGACAGCGGGGGGACCCGTGGCTTTGACGCCGAGCGGGCGCGCTGCTTTCCGGGATAAGCACCTTCGGTTACGCGGGGGCTCGCTGACTTATTCGTGGGGCTTCGTGTTAATGTGCTCGGCGGCTCTTTCTTGTGGATACTGCGGAGCCGACACGGAGTTTTCCATCCTGGAGGAAGCGCAAGTTCTGGCGGATCAAATGAAAAAGCTTTCCTCTCAGGAGCTGGGAGTCTTTACGATGCAGGTAAAGTCAAGGAAAGAGATGTTTGGTTTGTGTGTTCGTGTGAAACTGTGAGATCCATGTGGCACCCGGAGCTGCAGCCGGATTAAAACCCAAACCAGGAGCATCCAGAATAAAGAGGAATGATCAGTCACAGGGGAAAACTTGGGGTCAGGGATGTTGCTGTTATGAAACAATGAGCTCTTTGGTTTCCACGTTGCAGCTTTGAAGTTAGGACGCATTTATCTGCTGTGATTGTGGAGTCACACCAACATGTTCCTTGTTGTTGTTGTTTTAATTCTCCTTTTTTGTTTCCTGGCACAAAGCATCACATCTCCTTATCTCTTTACACAGAATGCACAAATGAAAAATGAGGATCATCTGTCACCTACAATCTCGATCATGAGCCATGAAGCAGCGTCTCCTCTCAGAGGCCTGACTCCTGTGCTCATTAATAACTTGATACAGTTAAATTGTGATCAGGTCATATGATGCAGGCCTGTTTATACAGATGAACACATGCCATTGTGCAGATTTATAAATCCTACTGGTCATGGCTTCCTGTGTGTGAGAGAGATAAACTGTGAAAAATGTGGATTCCCTCAATATCAATTAACAGGAGTGAATCTGTTTCTGCAGCTTCAGAAAACCCAGCGTTGAATCGATGGATGAGTCCAGACAATTAGATTTAGTTTGCAGGAGATATTGTCTCCATCAGCTGGAGTTGGATCAGATTTCAGGGCAACCAGGGCTGCAGCTCCAGATGGATCAACGTTTGTTAATATAATGTCAGAGATGGTGAATCATGTTCCTTCAGCGAGTGTAGAGAAGGAGCCGAAATGTAAAGATGGAGCCAGTGATTTTCTGTTTTCCTGCAGTTTTTCTCGTCACGTATCAAAATGATTGCATTACCTATTGATTTTCTGTTAAACGACAGGTTGTTGTAGCTCGAACTGACATGATTTTTGTGTCTTTTATGAGATGAGACTTGGGTCATTGGGTTTTATTATATTTTGAAGAGCGTATTCATATTTTTTGGAAGGATTGCTTTTTGAGTTTGGTGCTGAACTGAAAATGTCAGTGGACAATTAAACAAGTAATCCAAATAAATACCCCTTTCTCAAATGTATATATTTTCCATATACATACATGGAAAACAGAAGATCCTCCTCCGTCTGTGCAGAGCTGCACCAAGTCACCAAATGGCAGGAGGTGCAGGGTGCAGCAGTGCCTGGCGTGAGGTGGTGTGGTGGTGGGGGTGTTTAGCACTTCAGAGGCAGAGGAGCTCACAGGCCCTGAACACAGAGGCGAGGCAGCGGGGGGGCCCTGGCCCCAAATGGTGTTTCATCTTTTCCTGCCTCCACACACAGAGTCGCCTTCATCCCAGCACTGGGAGTCAGCTTTGAGGGCTCCCTCTGATCCCCCCCCCCCAAGATCTGTCTTTGTCACCACTCGTTCTTACCTGAGTCTGTGCTCCGTCTGGGCCTTATTTTCCTCTCCCCATCATTTGCTCTTCGCTGGCGTGTTTACAAAAAATGAATGAATCCCTTTTCAAATTCTGTCTTCTTTTCTCTCCATCTCTGCCGTCTTTTCTGTTGCATGCAAAATAATCGTGCCTTTTTTCCCACTGTATATTCAATGACTAATTTCAATTTCACATGTAACCCTGTCCAATTATCATGAAAATACTCATTCAGCGTCCCTCCCCTGTGTCGTGGGAATCCAGTTGTGAGGCAGACGTGTTGCTCTACAAACTGTGAAAATCCGACTTGGCACGGAGCGAATGGGAGTGTGATCGAAACGGTGCTTTTCATGAATGTGTGAGGGCGCCTCTCCACAAGTGTTCAGAAACGTGCATTCAGTAAAAACAGTCTGTGTCTGCCTGTGAAAACAACTGCAGGAATCTGTGAGGACACCTGCTCTGATGCTCCGTCTGCAGGTGTGTCCGTTCAGCTGGATCTCACTTTATCTTTCTGTCTCTTCCTTTTCTTTTTTTTTTCAAATCCCTACGCAGTGCAGGAGGCAGACATTTTTTTTTTTTTCATGATTTATTTTTGGGCAGCGAGACATCGACATGCAAAGTTAATGCTTCGCTATTTCTGGAGACATCTGAAGGGTTTTGTTATCAAGCGGACATCTCCGTTTAAAGTGTAATTCTAACCCTCTCAGCTCCACCCCTCATTCTCTGGCAGATGTGTAATTTGAGGCTCGTCCTGCCAGTGCCTCTGAGTCACTGGGTCAACCTTGTTCAATCTGTCATTGAGTTAGTCAATTATCAGGGGACGCCCGGGTGTTGACACTTTGTTTAGGCCGAGAGGTCAAGTTTTCAAAGCTGTTTTTTCAGCATAGTGTCACTTTTCAGTGGTTTTATTTATTTAAGCCTTTATTTCAGTAAGACACAATTCTACAACAATTCTTGTCAGTGAGTGATTATTGATTATCCAGAAAGTGTCTGTTCATAACGATCGTTCCCCTCAGGATCCTCCACGATTCAGAGCTGATTAGTAGATCCTGACAAATCCTGACAAATATATTTTTATCAGTCGGGCTCTACTGATAAAGTGGTAACCATTTATATATTTGATTTTAGTAATTTTCAGAGAAACATTTGCTGGTTGCAGCTTCTGAAATATAATATTTCCACGTGTTCCTTTTGTTCAATGTGTCAGTTACTTTAAAAAATGCCTTTCGTCTGGCTCCTGCTAACAGTTTCAGTGTCTAAATTAGAAAGTTAAGAGCATTTTCCCACCATGTTCCAGAGAGATTTCTGACACGGATTTCTTTAGATTGTATCTCAGTGGCTGTTGTGGACGCAGACAGTCGTCTCTGCACTAATGAGCGTTCGATGTCTGTTTCTGTGGCTTAAAGCAGAAGGTTTTACATGTAAATCTGGAGTCGGGCTTGGATCTACAATATGAAATATGACCTCATTTCCTTCGTCCGTGTTATTAAAACACTTCTGTCATGTGGGAACCTGCCAGAGGCAGAGCCAGGACCTTGGTACATGTTTCCACTAACAGCTGCAGCAACGTGGGTTTGATGAGTTGTTGGAAATACAGAGAAACTTAAACGTAAAGACTCACATAGTTTGTAAAGCAAGAAGGAGATCACTCATCCCCGTGTTGCACTCCAGCGCCCTTTTGCTTTTACTGAGAAGGTATTTACACCCTATTGGCTGATTATTTATGGAGGAAATTTCCCTGTGTTAGCTTTAAGGGCCGTAATCCACAGAGAAGTGTGGTTTGTTATTGAGGTCGGCTCGTCCAGTATCCCCGGCCCCCCTAATTGAATATTGATAGTAATTTGAGGGCAGTGGAGGTTTTTGAAGGAAAAGAGAAAATTGGTGTAGCTCTGGCATTATAATGAGGCCGTGATTTTCTGGTTTGGGTTTGGTCCAAGGGCAACAGAGCCCAGATTCCTGCTTTGTTGTTTTCTTTCACAAAGCGACAATTTGATCAGGTTTGTTTTAAAAATGTATGAATGTCTTTTTTTTTTCTCTTCCACCTGCCTCTATTTTAATCTTCATATCCCCACTCCTCCACCTCCTCTTTTGTCTGTCTCTGGGCTGCGTTTCGTCTATTTTCCTCAGTTTTTATTGAATCCGTGGCGGAGACAGGCAAACGGGGAGGAGGAGGAGGAGGAGGAGGAGGAGGAGGAGGGTTTGAGGATGTACAGCGGGACATCAGAATTCCTGCTAGGTTCTCTGCAGCTCAGCTTCAAAGCCTTCTCCCCTTGCACTGCATTGCCAACATGGCTGTGTGCTGAAACAGTCAAGGTTACTCTGAGCCTTGCAGACCCCCGTTCTACATGTGGGACTATTGCTGCCTCGCTCTCATCCTCGTGTTTGACTTTGAGTCTGTATTTTTTTTGTCATTTTGCTTTTCATCAGAACATAATCCAAACATAAACACATTAGCTTCAGATGATGACATAAAACTTAATATACCACTGTACATCTAATTACAGTCTGACCAATATGGATTTTGGGGAAGCAATGCCAAAATCGATATAAGGGAGTAAGATGTTTCAGATATAGATATACTGTCAGATGTATATTTAAAAAAATTGCAGCGATTGCAAATATATTGCAATCAAACATTAATGTCTAGGAAATGTAATTGAGGTTCTTGAATAAAAATAAAACACAAATATGTAGATCTCCAAGAAATCTTATATAAATGGGCATCTTCTCTTCATCTGTATAATCAAACATAAACACAGATACCTCAATGCTTTATGAAAAGAAAAGTCATGTTTAACATTTTCTTTACTAAAACACTCATTCAAAGGGCAACTGAACACTCAGGTGTCAGATATGAATTTCCAAACGCATTCCTAAAGTCGTCTTGTTTGACTGTTTTCCTTCTCCTTCCCTCGGGGCACAGAGGTTACATAACATAAGCAACTGTTTCTATTTAGTGCTCCAACAGAATATGGAAACTCAACTGTGGTGGAGGATGGACACACCCCTTTGTTATTCATTACTGTGGAATACTGAGGCCCTGCTCCGACTTTGTATTAATCTGTATCGGGGGATCTTACCACAACTGAACAGCTCTGATTACAGGCCGCAGGACCGTCAGTTTCATAATGAACAAATGTCCACAATACAAACATTATAATATAATTATAATCAAGTAGAGGGACATGGAGTCCATTGCATTGCTCAGACGCTTCCCTCATGTATGTATGTATTTGCATATAGAGCAGGGAGGTGAGATCCGATCACAAGTGGTCACTCAAGATGTATTCTAATACCAGGTGTGAACTGACGTACTTAGAGCTGTCCACTTGAGATTGCATCACCCAACGCGCATGATAATGCAAAGTGTGAATAGGGCCCCGGGCTAACATTAGCATCTATAGCACCATTTGCCTTCTTTCCTTGTGCTTAAATATTCACACGTCTTTTGCTGAATGTGGTTTTGCATCAATATATAAATATATAACCTATTTTCAAGATTACAATGCTCATATGTTACGCTCTGCCGGGGCTGCACCGGTTAGTGGTGGGCGGCTGCGTA